ATAGCCATGATTCTATCTCTATTGATAGATTTATCAGCAATGAAACTGCTTTTATCCTTATTAATAGCCAAACCACTAAAAGCATGAAATTGTAAAAGAAAATTGCTTAAAGAAGTAATATTATTAATCGAGCCATTAGAGAACAGAATGAAGTCATCAGCAAAACTAAGGTGAGAAATAGGAATGCCTCTAATAGTACGAAATAGAAGTTTAGGATTACGTAAGTATAAATCTTCAATACCCCTAGAAAGGTATTCCATAGCAATAATAAAGAGAGCCGGGGAAATATTATCACCTTGTCTTAATCCTTTGGAAGACTTGAAAAAATCATGATTTCTACCATTAATCATAACAGAAAAATAACAATTATCAATACTGTTCTTAATAAGCTTAATGAAGAAATCACTAAAATCAAATAAAGAAAGAACCTTATACAGAAAATTCCAGTTAAGGTTATTGTAAGCTTTAGAAATATCCAATTTCAAAATGATATTACCACCTTTCACCTTGGTATTAATCTCATGCGCAAGCTCTTGGGTTAACAAAACATTATCGAAAATGCTCCTACCTTTCACAAAACTAGTTTGATTACTCGAAATAATTCTAGGGAGAATACTTTCGAACCTTTTGGAAATAATCTTGGAAATAAGTTTATTAAAAAAGGAACAAAGACTTATAGGTCTGAAGTCATTCCACTTATTAGCCCCTACAATTTTAGGAATGAGCACAATATTAGTAGAAGTGAAGAATTTTGGGTAGGGAGAACCCTTAAAGAAATCAATGACCGCTTCAATAATATAACCTTTAATAATCTCCCAACAATTTTGAAAAAAATTAGTAATGTAACCATCAGGACCCGCAATGGAGTCCCCGTTCAAATCCATAACAGCATTGTAAATTTCCACATCATAAGGGAGAAGACAAAGCAATTCATTATCAATATCATTAATAATATGCATAATGACATGAGGATTAGTTAAAGGAATATTGGTAAAGTGATCATCAAAACTATTCTTAAAATGTTCCACACCAGACTTGCAAATAAGCTCCTCGGAATCAATAATAGAACCATTAATATTGACAATTTTATGAATATAATTCTTAGTTCTATTACGATTAGCCATGACTTGAAAAAACTTGGTATTCCTATCTCCTTCAACAATAAATTTAAAATTAGCTTTTTGTTTCCAAAATATTTCCTCTTGATCCTGAAGAAGAACAAGAGAATCCTTGGCACAGTTAAGAATATTCAGATTATCATTAAAAGGATTAACTATATAGCTATTCTCAAGCTTAAGAACTTTCATTTCAACTTCCTTGATGTTGGTAAAAACATTCTTGAAAACCTTTTTGTTCCACCAATTTAAACCATGTTTTAATCTACTAAGTTTAGACCATAATCTAAGCATGCCCTTAATGTCATTGTTAGGGTAAATGGGAGCGTTCCAATTAATACTAATAACATTCTTAAAGTTTCCATGAGAAAGCCACATATTTTGGAATCTAAAAGCAGTATTACCAACATTTCTATTAGCATTAATATTAAGCAATAAAGGACAATGATCAGACAGAGTTCTACTAAGATGATCAATAGAAGACATAGAGAAAGCAGAAAGCCAATCATTATTAAAGAGAAATCTATCAAGCCGCTGCCAAATATTTGATCTATTCCAAGTAAAAGGACTACCATTAAAATCAATATCATTCAAATAACAGTCAGAAATCACAGAATTAAAATCTTCCATAGTGATAGAGTTAGGCAAATTAACTCCTCTTCTTTCCGAGGCATTAGAGATAATATTAAAATCACCTCCAATACACTAAGGGCCATTAATATTATTTGCAAATTGACGAATCTGATCCCTAAGCGGGAGACTATTCCATCTAGAGCTAGCAGCATAGACAAAAGTAACATAACACTTATAATTAAAAAATTCAATTTCACAGCTGATAATTTGAGGGAAATCCAAAATAATATTAACATTAATATTGCTATTCCACATGATCCAAATTTTGTTAAAATAATTGGCAGCAAATTTAGAAAATCCTAATTTAGAAGCAGTAGAACAAAGTTTATCAGTGTAATAAGAGGCTCAATTAAAACTAAAAACATGATGCTATGCATTCTAGAAAGATTTTTAACTCTAGCAATCAAATCCTTTCCCCCGATTCCCCTAACATTCCAAAGGAGAGCTTTAATCATTAAGATATTTGGAAGAATTTTGAGCACGGGTTGACCGTGGGGTAGAAGGTTGGGAATTTTTAGAGTTCTTCCCTTTCTTTTTGACAATTTTCGAATAGCCATCATCATCACTATTTTTATGATGTTTAGCAATATTAGAAATAGAAGAAGAAGCCACAACATAACTATTTTTAGGATGATTAACAATATTAGATATAGAAGAAGGGGCCACAGTATTACTCACAAATTTTTCATAAGGTTGGACATTTTGCTCACCGTTAGAAGAAGGAAGAAATTCCCCTTCTTCACAAGCATCATAGATACCATCTCATATAGTTTCACCATCTCTATTAGCAACATCATTAGAAATAGAATTAGAATTATTTTCTACAATATTAGTAGCCATAGGATTTAAATCAGAATGAACAGTATCAATGTTATTAATGTCATTTAGCATAGATTCAATGGAAATGAAAATTTTAGGATCAGAAGCCACATTATTGTTTCCAATAGTTTCATGATTCTCCTCCTCAATAAGAATATCAACATTAGGATTTTTCAGCGGCTCTTGAGAAGCAACAATTTCAACTTCCGACTTATCAGACAATGGAATCGATTCCACCTGATTCGACTGGAAAATCGTCCCGGTAGGCACATAAGTTTTTTCGGTGGATCCATGCTTACCATCCGTCTGAACAGTCATTTTTTTTAAGTTCGGGGTGGAGTTTAAAGCAATCAGAGGGGGCATGTCCATGGATCTTGCAATGAGAACAAAAATCAGGCACTTTCTCGAAGAATTCAACTTTTTGCATATAACCGTAAGCTTTCAATCCAACCCATATATCATTCAAATGTTTTTTGGTAATATCAACTTCTACTAAAATTCTAGCCACAGAAGGCCTTATTAGTGAAGCAGTAGCTTGATCTGTTTGATGAGGTCTCTCAAAAATGGATCCCAATGCATGTAAAACTTTTTGGTTAAAAAGTGCAACCAAAGATTAGGAAATGAAATTCAGATGGGGACTATGGGGGATTCTTCCTTGATATCAAAAAAAGGCGTCCATTTTAAAATGCGCATTTGACAGTTGAGAATAAAGTAAGATCTTCTAGCAAAAATCCTACTGTAGTCAAGATTGATAGAGAGTTGTATGGAAACATGTCTAGAATCCAACAGATCGATTGAGAAAAAACCTAAATGTTTTAAGTTAGTGAAAAAACTGCGAATAGAATCAAGATTTGGTCTGTTAAGACCGAATTTACTGACCAAAGTGAACTGAAATGGAGATGCCAGCTTAAGAACTTCTTCATCAGTCAAAAGAACGGCTGGAACACCGTTAAACGTCGATTGGGATAAGTTTTGAAGGGTATCACCTGATCCCGAGAGTACATCCTTGAACGATCGTGATCTGGAAGGCGAACCATCCCCCGCCTCAAGATTAACAAATCCTTTGTTCTTAATCGGCTCAGAACCAGCAACAGATCCCCAAGGGTTGGGGGGCTGCGAAAAGCAGCCATCAGAAAACAAGCCCACACAGGTCAAAGAGCTAAGGATCGAACACAGCGCACCGAAAACACGAAAACGCAGGGGGAAATCGAAAACCCTAAATCACCAGAGCGGCGAGTTTCGAATTTTCACTTTAATTGCTTTCTCATTCTCTCATTTTGTAGGCTTTTCTTCTGTAGGTTTGGTGGATCGAATTTTGATACTGCAGGGTCTTTGGCCGCTCACGACAATTTTGTTCGCTCTAGCTCGTCCCACTTTTTTTGCAGGAAATTCGTGCTTAATGACGATCTTATGCTCTTCCTTTTTTGGGTGTTGTCCCATTCCAGTCCTAGAATGTCATTAGGTTTTTTTTGTAACTATTAGTATAAGGAATCACTGGCTCTTAGGTTTTATTTTGTTTTATTTGTAGCTCTGATGAGCTGGAGGTTCCTTTTAAGGACCTTGTAATTCTATTTTATATTAACGCGTAGGCCCCTCTATGAGTTTTAACAAAAAAAAATGTTTTAGGTGATATATTTACTTCTACACTTATATGACTTTCTAATATTGAAACAATTCGTCTCTCTTCTTTTAACATAGTAATTTTTCTGATCAAATCATATCATCTTTCTCTTTTGTTCATGTTTTCTTATTAGTTTATCCTTGCCATCTCCATATTTCATGTTATGCACTTCCTCATATGCAAATAACTTCTTAACAAATATAATATTCTTCTTTTCTGAAATAAAATTAAAAAAAAATACAAAAATATGTTAGCTTGCTAATGTTCAAAAAGAAATATTCTCTTTGACCAATTTAGGCGAAGGTACCGAATAAATCATAATGGCACATATATAAATAAATTTAAAAATAAAATTTTATTTGGGACAATTTTCTTATTGCTTTCTAAAATAATTTTTTAGTATAAAAATTTTTAATTCAAAAAATTTGTACTAAAAAATCTCTTTAGAAAGCAGTAAGAAAACTGTGTCAAACGAAGCCTAAATCCTCCTTATAACGTATTCAGCTCCAATATAATAAACCCTAATCTAACGACCAATTCAAAACCAAGAGAATGAATTTCCAGTACTCTCAACTCATTGCTTGGCTTACTGCTGATGTCTTCTTCACATCCCCACGCCAAAGTTAAATTTTAATATACAACCCTCTACATAGAGCTATATATTCTTACACCTTAATTTCTTCTCATATCACCATAAACAGACCCTTAGACGTCTTCTTTGAAGTATAATGTGTGGTACGAGACAACCCATTGAAGATGAGGGCGTAGAGAGAGAGCTAATGATGAGAAAGGCGACGAAGATTAGGAAAACAATGACGACGAAGACTATGACAAGATGGACAGTATGGAAGAGGTCGAGTATGGGATTCGTCGGGATGGATGGCTTCTCAATTTATGATGCAGAGGGTAGATTGGCCTTCAGAGTTGACAACTACTCCAGGAGCCAAAAGAGCCTCCTCCTCATGGACGCCAAAGGGAAGCCTCTCCTCTCTCTCAAGCCAAAGGTAAGTAGATTCATTCATAAAACATCATGTATGTAACCATGAATAAATATGTTGCAAATGTATTAAAATTTTTGCTACCTACATCATCATAGCAGATGCTAAGCATCTATGATCAATGGGATGCTTATGAAGGAGAGGAAGAGGTGGGTCGACATGCAAAAACAAGATCAAACAAGCCACTTTTCTCAATGAGGCGACCATCCATTCTGCATAGCCGGGTCGACATGGCTGAGATCTTCATGAATGGTCTGATTACTGATGAAGAGCCAAGCTTCTGTGTAGAGGGAAGCTTTAGCAGCAGATCATGCCAAATATTCAGGCAGAGGAGAGGGAATTATAAGGAGGCGGTCGCTCAAATATCCAGGAAAAAGGCGAATTCTCTTGTGGAGCTTGGAGATGATGTATTCAGTCTCATCATCAAACCAGAAGTCGACTGTGAGCTCATAATGGCGTTTGTTGTAGTAATGGATCGAATATGCAGGAAATAGTTGAAAAATATTTTGGAACTAATATTGTCTTTGTTGACGCATCGTGGAAGATTTGAACGTGCATGAGGAGTTGGCCGATGGATGAAGTGGTCATTTGATGTCAGAGGGGAATTGCCGACCCAATAGACCGCTTCTGTTCAGCGATTTTTTTTTAGCTGGTCAAGATTATTTGGTGGTGAAAAGTTGACTGTTCCAGGGCCCGTTGGAGCTTCTTCCACGCTAACGGTCAACTTTTATGGGTTGTTCTTTAATTGTTTTGTTCCATTATTGGTGATTATCACGAAATTATTTCCTGGTACATTTGATAATAAAGGTTAGATTTTAAAATTAGTAATGTTAAGACCTGCCACTCTTGGCTAAATTATATCTTAGGTAAACCGTTATGAAGAGAGTTCATTCTCTAACCAAACTAGCAAAGCTTGGTAAACCATTATGAAGAGAGTTTTTTAGCTGGTCAAGATTATTGTAATTGTGCTATATACCCATCTTTTATAAGTATTTTAATGATGGACATTATGTTGTATGTAGAAAATACCTTAATCTTAGAACTCACAGTGAAGAATTTCCCTTCATTAAATAATGAAATTTCTAGGCTTGATGCTGTCGACAAAGAAAAGCAAAGCATATGTGGTTTATACATGAGGAGACCTATGTAGAAACAATATATCTCTAAAGGCTAGTTTGTTGACACGAGCAATACTTGTTTTAATTGAAAAATAATGGCACAACATGAGAGGATGCATGGCTTTGAAGAAATTGGAACAACATCTAAGTTACAAATATTAAGAAGATATGTTAGAAGATACAAACACAACTGATATAAACTTTTGGGGCATACTTTTTATTATTATAGGCCATAGATGAAATGATTAGTGGGGGTTCTTGGCTCAATAGGTTCATTTAAGGTGTGCCATGATAATGTTTCTTTAATGGGATTGCTTATATATTGTTTCTATGCATGTTTCCTACTCATGAATAATCCACATGCGCCCTACTTTTCTAAGTTGACACCATCAAGCTTAGAAATTTCATCATTAATGAAGGAAAATTCTTAACATTTTCTAAGATTGTGGTTTTTCCTCCATCCAACATAATTTCCATCATTAAAGTACTTATAAATGATGGGTAAATAGCACAATTACAATAAAGCTTGATCATGAACATCCACATTCAATTAAGTAACTTTATTGTCAATTGGAGTGAGATGTGTATCAAATATGAGAATGAATCTTATATATTTGGGTTCTTTAAGTAATATAAGGAATACATTTTATGGAGATGTTGTTTGCAAGGATTTTATAATTTTCATTAAGACCATGAGAGTAAGAGCAATATATCATTTATGGTGAAAATTTAGAGTTCGTTTCAATAATTCCTTCGTCTATGTTAGGGTGTAAGAAAGCAAATGAGAGTTAGATTTCAAGATGAAAAATTTATGGAATAAGTTTAAAAATAAAATGATAATAACAATTTAATTAACTAAGTAGATCAAATTTATGTTGCATATAGTCTATTCCAATGTTATGTTATGCCATTAATATATATATATATATATATATATATATATATATATGGTTAAAACCCACAGAGGGGCCTACGCTTTAATATTAAAAAGTAGGTTACAATATCCTTAGAAGGGTCCTCCAGCTTACTATTGCTCAGAAAAGCTACAAAAAAATTTAAAATAAAACCTAAAAGTCGGTGGTCCCTTTTTCTAATATTACAAAACAAATAAAAGTAAAAGCTAGGGATGCAAACAGACAGCAGCCAACAAAGGAAGAGCATATTGATATCGTTCAGCACAGACTTCCTGCAAAAATAGTAACCAAAACTCCAAAGATTCTAAAGATTATAATACGTGAGAACATTGCTAGCATTGAGAATCCAAAACTACGAGAAAATCGGCCTGCAAAAAGAACTCCAAAAAACAAAGTTAATACAACTGTGATAATTGCAATATTTAGTCCAGCCATTAAGAAAACCGTTGAAACTAAAAGCACTAGGAACCCGAAGTAACCCCCTCAGATTCTGTGAATAGTTCCAAGCATGAACAGAGATAACCTGAAACAAATCCTCCATGATAACATACATGAGAATAATAAAAAGCCTCATAGATAACTCCATGATACTCAAAACATAGCTGATTGTAATGGTATTAAACCCTGTATTAGCTTGATTAATAATATTACAGTTAAAATAACAAATCAAATCCAAATAAACCCCCCACAAAATAAGATCGACAGAGATGTGCTGGATGGGAAACTAGCACCTAAACAAAGCCCCCAAAAGCCCGTAGAACATCATAATATCCCCAGGAAAACCCCAGGACAATACAATTTTACTACACGAGAGAACTTGCAGCCCCCAAAAACAGGGCCGAAAGAGCAACCACACACAGAGCAGATAAATATTAAGCAAAACAGACATAAAAATAAAACATCAAGCATGACGGATATAAGGGAGACCCAGCTTGTCCAAACAAATCATGCCTCTAAGAGGAGTAGGCAAATTGTTTAGAGGATGTTCCTGAAAGATATCACTTTGAGCACCAAAATTAGCCAACCAATCCGCACAAGCGTTACCTTCACGATAGATATGGGAAATAATAAAACTCAACCTAGCAAGTGCCATTTTAATTTTTCTGATAGTGTAAAAATCATGAGGACAACCAGTAGAATTACCAGCACTACAGGAAAAATGGCCTATACCGGCGGTTTATAG